CTACCTTCCTAAATCCGTAACATTGACTACTTTCTAGCGCTTTTCTTTAAGAAAAGGATTTGAAAGTGTCTCCACTTCATCGAATCAGCCACCTATTTGCTGCTAGGCGATTATACGTTCGCAGTCTAAATTCGAACAAGCTTCTTCCGCTGATAACCCTTTTATGAATCTCTAAGTCAAATTTCCCTTCGCTTACACTGTACAAGTACAGAGCGATCTTGCAACCAAATATAAAATAGCCAAGCCATGTACTGCACGCTGACACTCCCACAATTCCAACCAACTCGAAATACAGAATGATTTAGAAATTTATTGTGGCTCATAATAAAAACAATAATAAATAATACGATAGTGATATAAATCTCGTTTCAATTTACACTTCAGGGTAAGGATTTAACGTATCCAAGATCAATGATGCTCTTGCGATGGCGCTAATTGGACGCCGGCATCTGGAAGCACGATGCCGCCTGGGCGGTTGACAGCATCGGATCCTTGACGACACCGGCGTTCACCAACGCTCCAATTAAACCACACAATCATCGTGAGACATTATCAACAACAACAATATAATAACTATGAAAATGGCTAGCGTGTGGTTACAGCCTAGTTGAAGATGAGAGAGATAGAGACCACCGAAGACATGCACTCGTGAACGCATCTACCACAACAACGACGAATAAGGAGGGGATGGATGGGGGACTGGAGGGGGGGGGGCGTAAGTTTGGAGTAAAACACATTGCAGCTTATTCTACTTGACGTTTACGGTACTATGCTGAACGCGGAACGATGAAAGTGATTTGAGCAAGCGCTATGAGTCCATGCACACACGTAGCGACACGAGCCCGAGCCAAATACGTGCATGCAATCGACTCACGCTACAAACAGTTATTTATGATGATAATGAAAATAATGTACACGCGAGCACGAGAGACGACAAATAAAGGGCGGGAGTGGGAAACATGATACATTTATGAATGGATGATGAAGCGCAGCTCATCCTCACACCTACTATTACTACATAAAATACAAATGAAGGGAACACAGCAAAGAAATTGATTACAAGACAAGAAAATGTGATTAAACGACACACAAACACACACACTGACATACATATAGATGCTTTGCGACCTGTGCACACGACCGCGCCCAAGAAAGTATGAAAAAAAGAAGAAGAGTAAAATGCATGTTTGTAGCTCAACTAGAAATGATGAAGGAAAAGATAAAATGAATGCACATCGTTCACGTGCATACAATAAAAGAAAATCGATCAATACACAACGTAACAAATACACCTCGCAATGATGTCAAACCGAAAGCTGCCTAAATGTATGAGCGGATTCGTGATTCGGGGGAACATTTCAGTTATGGGACCAGAAGGTGGGGTGGGATGGATTAATAATGATGAGTTATAGCTAATTGACGACAACCAATCAGTAATACTACGCCGGAGGTACATGGGATAATCAGAAATGGACCCGGCGGACCCTCGAATGAGAACAACAAACACGAACACATGCACATACGCACTAGAAGTTTGCTTTTATACACGTAACCTTTATAATACAGACAATGATGGACGACGGGTAGATGAGGTGGACACGATCGACACTGCATGCGTCACGACGGTGATGACGACGGGGACGAGGAATCAGAATATGAGACAACGACAACAACATAATGCTCTAACAGGCGACAGACGACCGGCGTCCGCGCCTCTCTATATCACAGTACTGATACGAGTAGTTGCTCTAATGGATCACCATGACTGGAAAGGCTAGCTCGTTTTCCTCTATATGATGAGGGAAATACGAGGAGATACACGTACTCGGCAGATAACGAAGATGATGATGACGACTGGGACTACTACGCTAAATTCTGCGATTTGGGTTCTACATGTCACCGGAATTGCCCTGACTGATCCGGTTGGCCGGTTTGTTGCGGTGGCAACATCGGTGACGAACCCATACCCATTGATGGTGATCGGCCCTGTAAACAAACCGGTCAGTTTTTAATACAGATCAATCGCCGACTTAACATTCATTTCGGCACTCAAGGACATAACATGATGGGCGAGGGTGACTTCTACAAAAGAAATGAAAGTAAGAAGCTATGGATGCCCAATACTCACCTGACCAACACCGAAATGTTGACCGGAAATCGCCGGTGATTGACCCTGCTGTTGCCGTTGTTGATGGAATTGCTGTTGTTGTTGCCATCCACCAGGTCCCATCGGAGCGAACTGATTACCAGATGCTCGGACACCTCCTTGAGGAGGAGGGCCGCCATAATAGCCGGGCTGTGGGCCACCAAGTCCCACGCTTGATTGCCAGCTGCCTCCTACCATCTGGAAAGAATTGTCCTGCTTACAGTTTTCATTACCAAGGTAACTTGAGTTCGCATATCTAGCCCACCTCGCTGTTAGGCTTCATCTTGATGAATGCGGCGAACAGATGCGGCGTCTTTTTCAGTTCTTGGAATGCCGACTGTTTTTCCTCGTCTGTCTTCGCCATCTTGAATCGATTCACCACCTGCGCCATGGCTGGATCCGTCAGTGCTGGATTGCCTTGCTGCTGTTGTTGAGGTGGTTGCTGCTGTTGTTGTTGCATTGGAGCTCCACCACCTTCTGGAAAAAATCTTCACTCAGTTCTGAATGATGAAAAAAGAATTTTTGGAGATTATCCGGATAAATTTTTTACCGACAGCGCTTGTTGGAACTCAAACTTACGATTTCTCATCTGACCCATGCCAGGATGCATTGACATGCCTGGCTGCATCATTGAGGGTTGATTGAAGCCGACCATCGGTGTTGGTGCCCTGAATCGACTCACTGATCAGTATGAAATTGAAATATGGGAAAAAGAAATAAAGTGATTGGCAAGATTTCACGTACCTATATGGCGGTGGTGGCTGACCTCCAGCACCTCGGCCACCAGGCGGCATCGGCTGGCCGCCTGGATGCTGTCCTGGACGCATGCCTCCCATCATAGCAAGCTGTTGTTGCTGCTGTTGTTGCTGCTGCTGTTGCTGTTGTTGATGCTGCATCGGATTGTACATGTTTGACGCACCCATTGGTCCTCCCATTCCGCCGCCACCCATGCCTTGTCCCATTTGAGACATGCCACCAGGTGGTTGTTGCTGTTGTTGCTGCTGCGGCGGCATCATGCCCGACGCTGAAATTGGACAAGTACTAGATGAGCAAAAATTTGCAGATCTTTATCGGCAATCGACCGGACAAAGACTTACACATGAATCCACCCCGCTGCTGTTGTTGAGGTTGTCCAGCTTGTGGATGTGATGGCATCGATGACATCGTCGGCACTTGAGTTAATGGGCTTGGGCCAGGAATACCTCCCTGAATACATTCGATATGATTATTTGTTCAAGAAGTGTTCGTTCGAAAACTGCAGATATACTATGATAATATAAGTTCATGATCACACAGTAACTGCCTACTTTCATATGAGTTCCAGCGAATGGCTTGTTATCTGGAGGTGGTGTCGGCACTGATGTTCCGCCGGCAACGCTAACAGCTGAAGAGCTGGACGAAGTAGGTCCTAAAATGAATTCTTGTGAACTGCAAAGGTAAAGTGTTTGTGGGATTACGAACCAATCTCCGGAACATGTCGTTTCTGTTTCCGATCAGGACAGTATGCTTAACATCCCGATTACCCTTTTACTGAAAGGAGGAACTCTCGAATTTCAAGAATCTTCGCAAACTCCCAGATTTCACTTTCTTACAAATAAGCTCAAAATTGCGGAGTCCGAAACCTCTAGAGAGACAATTTCAGTTCTTTCCAGACTGAAGTGGTTACGCCTAAAACTGATGGCTCGATTACCATACCTATCCTTACCATTGTCGAAATCACAGGGTGTATCAAGACAATTACTTCACTTGGTTAACGCTACCTTTCCCAGTGACGGCTGGAAGCATGATAATGGTAGAACATGTATCGCTTCACTTACCACCTGCTACAGCCTGTAGACCATCGATACGTCGTCGCATCATCATGTCCGCACGTCTGGCGATCGAACGCTTCTGCTCGGCCAATTTTTGGCGTATGTTCATACAGAAAAGGTACCTGAATTAAGTCATTAGAATCTGTGCGTATATACCTTGTCGGATGTGGTGAGCTGCCTTTACCGAACACGAATCCCGAGAACAATGCTTTGCATGGTAACAGCACAAGGCGATCAACTGTTTGCACACTGGGCAACTGGCATTCACCCTCTTCTTGCACATCTTCGTGTGTTTGTAACAGCTCGCTTCATCTTATGACAAGACACACGACGACAATTCGCGTCTCTGCACTGACAAGCGTGTACCAGCGACAATATGCAGCGCTGAAAACAGTAATATGAACTTTCCTAATGAGAATTATTCTTAGCAATCTAATCTCAATTCATAACCAAACCCACTTGAATACTTTCGAAGCGGTTGTTACCGCTCGAATCGCCACTTTCGGCACCGATAAGCGGTTTGATCTGTTCCATTGGATGTTCATGCGAAACGGACTCACGACACGTCTCACACAAGATCGAAAGTCCTAAGATACATTATACTAGACGGATACACTTTAACGCCAATAACTTCAACATAGATCAATTCCAGATATTTTCGTAGAAAACAACCGCGCGAACTCGAACTCACATCACAAGTCGTACAATGCCATTTGGCATTCGAGCTGTTGCACTTGTTGCATGTGTAGCTCATGTCCTTGTTCACATCTGATTCATGAAGTGCGTGACACAAAGCGAGGGTTGAGAATCTGAAGCATAAAAGATCAGATACATGACGGTGATAAACCGCTACAAGTATCTTCTCAAACCGACCAAATTCGTGCCACTTTAGGCTGTTAATTGTTCAAATTTTTTATTTACTTTCTGTTCCTCATGATGACATTGAGATAGCAAGTAAATAATAACTTGGCACAAAGCAATCGTCACATGTGTGGGGCTCACCCACCTCAGGTTATTCCCTCTCCCACTAGTTTACAAATTTGCATTTTGCACGGATCGGTCTTTGATCTTTTAACTTGTACTCGAAGTCCACGTCCACAGCGCGCGTCCAGGTATCCTCCGTTGCCCAACTTTCTGGAACACTCGTGTCCACAATATATTTTCATCTGCGGCGTTAGTTTAACGAACCTCTACACCCCCCACGCAATGTAGAGCTGAAGCTAATCATACAGCTGAATAAATACCAATATTTAAGCAGTCACTCACTTTGCTCTCCTCAAAGAGCTGAACTCCCAATGTTCATCACGAGCTCTCGTTAGGAACGTATCTCTGCCGTCCATCATGTCAGACGGCCATGAGCGGGTCTGGATCGACAATTTCCGGTAGTGACAGCGCTGACTGTTGTGTAACTAGCCGAATAGTGAAGAACACCTGAAAAAGATCTATGGCTCAACAGGCAGATCATCGAGCATGCCAACAATAGGGAATCATCTCCTATAGTTATGACATGGCAGACTTTGCACCGCGTGTGGTACTCCTTCAGCCCTCTTCCCACTACTAACTTGCCACTGCTATCTCCAGACGAACGCTCACTAAGAAAAGTTGCCAGCCAGAGACAGAACAAAAACTGTACATGGCCTTCATTTCCCTAGTACTACGACAATGCAGTTCAATATTTGATCACTGATCTAACGGAAAATTCACTTCGGAAATGAGGCCTAAGCTCAACAAACCTATCGTTAGTTAAATAAATTGCAACCCTACAGCTGGATTGAATAGTGCCTTTCGTCCCATTTACATTATCAATCATTACAAAAAATGGATATGGAGTAGGAGTATTTTTAGAGATGGGACGAGCGATTTTTCTCAATTTTTTCTCCATACGACTATCAAAAATGCCACGTTCAAACAGCACTAATCTAACTCATTGGCGATCTTTCAAAGCAAATTGCATTCTTCCAACATGGTTCAACAAGAAAAAAATCAATGAATAAAGTCATTCACTCACCTCCTTGTGCTTCTCAAATTGTGAGTACAACTTGTCAGCCACCTCATTACCGGTAGAGCTGCCCTGCTTCTTCTTATTCATCTTCGAATTTTTCTTCAGATTATTCTTCTTGTTCTTGGAACTGAAACAGCTAAGGTTTAAGCTTAATGCCACTCAAATAGGAATAGGGGTAATTACACACTCCAGCAGAAAAAATACCACTTTACTACCCTTAACTTTCAAAAGCTTCATTCTTATTCCTATACCTCTTTTTCTTGCCATTATCACCCGACTGGAAGATGTCTTCGTCGTCTTCGTCAGCTTCCGCAACCTCTTTACGACGTTGAGCTTCTTCATTTCCAGCCTCACTGAAACACAACAACTCTCGTTACAGTAATTCACCATGATACACTTTTTTCACCAAACCTACCGAATACAATCTTCAATGACATTTGGCCAGAAATCGCCTTCAAAGTACGGCAAACTCATTGGCGTCGTCAAATTATCATCACGAGCCTGAAAAGAATCGGTAGAGAAGCGGGAACGAATTCAAATCTAACATTGATTGTTTGATTAGGCTTACCTGCTTGTAGATATCTTTGAATTCAACGACAGTCTTCTCGGTCACACCCTTCTCCAACATCTTTTTGTACCAGTCCTAAGAAACAAGCCATAAGTACCATACCATATGAAAAAAGGAATTCTAGAGATTCCCGCCTACCAACCTGCAGCCTCTTTGGCTTCGGAATTTTCTGTTCTGGAGGGTGGCAATGAAAGATGTAATCGTCACCTTCTGACGGAGGGCACGCCCATATATGGGCCATAGTGTACCCCAACCGTTTTACGTAACTGAAAAAAAACAAAGGTTTCATAAACGATAACGGACCATTTAGTAGTACTAGAACCAAACAAAGATTAAAACTCACTCAAGATATCCCAACAGGATCTCATGATAAACCTCCGTCCTCAACTCTCTTGGTTGGAAGAAGTGCACTGAATCCAAGTATGCGATGTACACTCTCCTAGAAGCACAAGTTCAATTAGCATGTCTAATTTCCTCCGAATAATCGTAGCACCTCACCTTGCATTTGGTTCTTTGCAGTTACTACCGTATTCCTGAACATGAAGTCCAAAGAAGCACACCTCCACACCATCAATGATCTCAAATGCAAAAACGGCCTTTGTTCGATAATTGAATCGATCCGGGAAGCCTTGAGGACCATATCTGAATGAGTCAGACATTCAGAAAATATCGGTTCTGCACTCAATTCTCCAACAAAATTAATGATAACCAAACAATTTCTGGCGCATGTGGCCACTGGGTAATGCCTCATTCGATAATCGACATCCGCACATCAGTCTCGTTTCATGTGTTTTTCACTATTTATCATTCGTCTCATCTTGCAGAAGAAAGCTTGCAATTTGGCGACGCTTCATATGTAACAAATGCGTTGCGAAGCGAATTCTCGCAGCACTCATTTGTTACATGTGTGCCTCTAATCCTAACCATGTCAGGAAACAGAACCTATAAATGAATTCAGGGCTTACTTCGACTTCATCAGTGGCTTCACTTCAACTTCCTTGTCCTGAACACACAGCGTTCTAATAATTACTTCGTATTGCTCAGGATTGCTTGGAAGAGCCTTCTTCAAGAAAGTATTCACCTGCAACAAACAAAATTTACTTCATCGCTGCACGAAAACCTGATGAAATATTCCAAACCAAAGACTCAGTAGAGTACTTACCCGATCTTCTAAGAATTGTGACAGCTTGTTGTGCGGTAATCGTTTTGCCATGAACCGATTCTCCGGTTTAGGATAGCTCTTCTCTTTGCGGCATGTGTCACAGATGAAACCTTCAGGAAACACCTGAATTATGTCGTAATGCTTACTAAAACAGTACAGCTATAACACCAACTAACAAGCTTTGAAGCTGTTTAATTATCAATCAGAAAGCATCTGTGCTGCATCTGACCGTAAGCTAACTAAAGTTGGGAGAGTGGCAAAAAGAAAACAAATAGAACTTCTTGACATAAAGGTATTGAATTCGCAAAACTCTTCAAAACTCAAACAGAGAGAAGCAGACTAGTTTTGAAATTAATCACGTAACCATTGAGAACAATTCTCGTTAGGAGCAAGAATAAGCCGATAAATGACCGATAAAAATGTCTGCCCTTCTGAGAGTACAATACGCCGTGGATGTAGGCGGTTCGCAAACACATTGCAAAACATTGCGCAACATTTCGTAGCGAAATTTTGTCAGGAGAGATCTTCATGCTTCTACACGCATAGCAAAGCGATCTCACCGATTTTTCATTCAAACACTGTCAAAAGAAGCGAAATAGATACTATGTAAGTATAGATTTGAATCGAACTCACCTTTTTATCGTAGAGTGCACAAATTCGATGCCATTTTCGATGACAGTATTTGCACACTTCGAACGGTTCATAGTCGATCACGTTGTTTTTCATTTGTACAAACTTGTCTTTTGGTGCCATGTTCGACTGATCGTTCGGATTTTCCGATAGAGAAATGCCTTCTGGTGGCAAGGCGTCAAAACATTTGAGACAGTATGTGTACCGTTCAGACACCGTCACTCTGCCATATTGTGAAGATGTTTGTTCGTAGCTGAAAAGAAAGGAACTAACGAGTAGAGCATCATTCTTTAGACGCTCAAACCTATAAGCAAGTCCCATAATATCTACGACTTGCGCGGCTCACAGAAAAAGTTTCAGAAATTTTATAACTTCGTAGAATTTTAGAATACGAAGTTATTACGACTAGTGTATTAATAAGGGTTTTGCATTATTAGGCTGAAGATTGAATAACTAATCAGGACTTCAACGTCTTCCATAGCTCTCAGATACGGGAAGGGTTTGAAGTGTAACGGAAATTCTCTTGGACACCTAACTTTTGGAGATTTTGCCCTCCTTCCCTATAAAATCCGAAATTTGGAATTCTCTTGAAAACAATATACACTATTAAAGCCTCCGCACTGGGCCATCTATATCTGGTAACCCCCCCTGTTGACACCGGTCGACAAATTTATAGAAATACCGACGTGGCTCCGTTGAGCGACACACTTTTATCCCCCACTCTCTCCTGCCAGCCAATAGCGCCCGGCGCCCACAACAAGAGCGCGCGCCCCGCCCGCTCGCCTCAAGCTCTGTGCACACACTTCCGGCCACCCTCCGTCCGCGCCTCAGACGCGGCTCTACAGCGTCATTCTTCTCATTCCTGCTACTCCCCACCTCCAGCCCCGCGCACTTCCACGCGCTCCTCTCGCTCCTTCTCCTCAAGTGCTCCACACCTTCTCAACACTCCCGCGTCTCTCACTCGACACCCGACTCACACACCCACACCTACGGACAACACCCGCGCCATCAAAGAGATCTCCACCCACTCTAATCTACATGCCTCACCCCCAGAATCTTAAAACTGAGTGCCTTACGGTGCTAGGACGTATTCTTGATTCCAACAACACAATCAACCCAAATTACACCCCCACCCTACACAGCGCTTAGCTTCACCCAAGAGAGCCTATCGACACATCGATGGCACCATAACAGAATAAAGCCAACGGGGTGAATGACAGCTTTCTCGAACAACAGTAACCCATTTGTTGCATGACTTGATCCATTTCCGTCACGAACATTTCGCTCAACTAAACAAATGAAATTAAATGCATGCTTTGAACTTCAGTGAACACCATACCAGCTAAATCGATAGATCACGTTATCAGCTTCATAAAAAAAACTGAGTTTTTACAAGAGCATAATGAGAATCCCTATGAGCCCCTAAGCCTTGAACTGTCGAAAGTCAGAAACGAGAGCGCAGCATCATCAAGTTATTACATGGCAGCATCAGAGCCGAGTGCGCGTCTTTTTCTTAAATATCCCATTCCATTGCAAAATTTAAAATCCCATTGCGCAACAACGTCACGAAGTTCAAAAATCATCTAGTAAATCTTTGATTATGGTAACGTTTCTGGATTAATCGCACTTGAAGAAAAGCAAAAAATGCTAGCGTACAAAAACACTTACCTTTGTACAATATTTGTACACTTTACTATTCTTGCGATTGTACATCCATGCGTTATCAAACATTAACCACATATCATCACAGAACTCCCATGGATTCTTGTACCGACCGACCGTTATCTAACTTCATACAAATTGTCGACAAATCCATGGGATGTTTTATTATTTCGTTATAGTCCTGTAACTGAGCAAAATCACTTCCAGTCTGAAAAGAATAAGTGCTAAAGGCACGTCACACTGAAACTCACCGGAATGTGTAGTAAGTCCGGATCGACTGGCATACGGAAGGGTACAGCATCCTCGGAACAATCCATCTTTTCCCAAACAGGTCGTAAATAATGTCTGAAACGATTATCCATGAACTTGACAGGGGAAGCAACAAATCATGGACTTATCAATGTAAAGAGCAGTGTTTCATTCCGTTTCCTTCAAAGCGCGAGATTCGCACGACATCTGTTTGAAATATTTCTGCAACGCAATGCGCTGTAGGATCAAAGCTTCAAGCAGGACTCACCGCAACTCGTTTGCATCAAAGATTGTATCCTCTCCGGGAGGTGGCGTAGGCTCCCTCTTCACGATTTCTTTCTTAGGAGATGAAGTGGACTCTGTTTTTATAGCCGGAGTGGCCTTTGTTGAAGTAGTTGGAACAGCTACCGTAGTGCCCGTAGACGGACCCGGAGCAGCTAAACAGTCAATTGTAAGTGAAAAGCACAAATGCGTCCCGCAGCTACATTGGCATCTTGTCGATGAGATCGGCATAAAATGTTTGGCATAAATATTCGTCTTTTCTTCGCAACCTCGAAGAAAACCATACTCAGCAAATCCTGTGGACCAACCTGAGCATCCCTCTTCGACTTTCGCCTTGGAGTCTGACCTCACTAACGTCGGAGGCAAGCCATTTGTTGATGATACACTTGTTGACGATGATAGCGGACCATTCTGCTCACTGGAGTCCATAGCTTCCATCTTCACCTGAAAGCAACATACTACGAGAAACCCGCATGCGGTTAAATCAATATAAGCTACTGACCAAAGGTGTTCCAGCTGCCGATCCATGACTGCTGTTCGACTGCTGCGCACCCATTCGCTCCTGTGAGCGTTGTTGTTGCACTCGTGAATCTGCCGCTGACGCCGGAGCCGACAACGGACCACTCCCAGTTGCACCGGTCCAACCCATATTATGCTGCTGATGTGATTGTGGTGCTTGTTGCTGTTGCGTCTGAAGGCCCGGTGGAAGTGGGGTTGACCCAGCAGTCCGATTCGGTGGATTCGGCATGTCCATATCGAAGTCGGGAATTGAGCCAATCGCTGAAACCGTACCATTACAAACGTAATATCAAAGCGTTTCCAAATAATCAGAGCGTTCTGAAAAACTTACATTCCGAGTACCCACTGTTTGGAGCTGGTTGCGCCTGGCCGGCAGGTACACTTCCTCCGGACTGCTGCTGCCCGCCCCCTCCTGCACTAGCTCCGCTATCCGCACGAAGCCTTGAGTTTTTCTTGTCTTGGAGGTCTTTTTGAATCTTGTAAATCTTCTCCGCCAACAGGTGATAGTATTCTTCCTGAAGAGCAAAGAATTGTATCAATTATTTAAAGTTGAGAGAGTCAAGACAAAAGGAAAACTCTACAGATGTTTGATGAAAGTGCTTCTGAAGGCATCATTGATCTATCAGTGCACACACGAGGAAACACGGCAAAAGTGAACACTCATAAATGCTTCTTGTTAGAATAGTCGTTTTTTTCAATTTTCATGAGCTAGCAATATGATATAAAATAGATTGTCAGCGAAGTAGGCCAATCATAGACACGTATACTCAGATGCATTTCGCCAGTTAACAGGGGAAAAGGAGAGTACTCAATCTAGAAGGAGCTTATTTAGGAGGTTGAACATAAATATGGTAGGTGACGAGATTGAAGATGAAATGCAGCTTATGTAACATTGAGCAGACCCTTGATTGAGCCATCAAATTCGTCATAGTTTTTTGTACATAATTTCATGGTTTTGAGATCCTATTTGATGAATGTTCTCATTTCATCTTCTCCCGATATATGCTGTCTGCATTGACAGACCACTGGGCTGACTTTAAAATCGAGCGCACTTATTAGACCTACTTCATTAAGTCGACTGGTTATGGCAGCCGACAAGGTAGGTTTTAGTTGAGACTTCTGAGAAATAATGCTGATAAAACGCTTTCAAAAGAAGTCGTGAGCTGGACAACTTGGATTGGCACATCTAGCAAGCAGTGCGTTTCAGTCTTGCTCACTGATCGCATTTTGTACTATTCGATAAGAAACTTATTTGTAGGATTTTCTATATTAAGGAACGAGGGCACCCTAACTTCTTCGATTGCAGGGTAGAGGACCTACCAAACGTGATGCTAAAAGCCTGCTCGAAGTAACACGATTCGACTAGCTCGCTCGTTGGAAACTGCTCTTCAGAAGGCAAGAGAAGAAGGTTGTAGAATGGGAGCCATGCAGAAGCGGAATACTACAGAGTGCTTCCGTTGGACAGAACTACCAAGTTCACGCACAGCGCATATTGCCAATCATTGGAACGATCAAAATGTCGCTATAAACTATGCTCTACCCTCGCCTTTACCCAAATTCAACCAAAAGATAGGTCAATCCGGTCCCGCCCACTGGTCCATGGTCCGCGGAAGATTCCTTTAATTCTGTTGCATGGCCATTCGTAACTGCAGAATAGGTAACACGTTCAGTTCCCATCATGTATCACAAGAGGCACCGAAAAGCAAACACGATATCGAGTTTTTCGAAGTCACTGCCATGTGAGTACTGAACCTGTAAACTACACTCAGCCGTAGAAACTAGCGTGCACTAAAATATTTCCCCTTGTCAATTGTATATGGAGTATTACAACCCCTCTCAAGATTGCGCAATGTCTTGCACTAGAGCAAAAACTCGCAACTCACTCGGTCATTGGCTGACTCGAACATCTCCATTTCGACTTTTCTAGCATAGTTGATGAGGTCACGAATTCGTTGGTCGTGTATCGCGTTTGGATCCGGTGACGGGAATATTGCCTTCACCAACTTGCCAACGAGGTGATTACGAAGATCACGAGTGACGTGCTGATGCCATTCCTGAACACAACAAACTTAAAGCTGTTTAAAAGTTTATGAGTCGAGGCGACTTCGAAGGAGAAATGTAACGGAACTACCTTTGCACTCATTTTTTACTACATGAATGAACCACGCACCAACGGCAACAGCCACGTCACACATATAGGGGATGATTGATAAGATAATGATACTCTTTCAACTTCACGATTAACGTAAAAAAGCATGTTTGAACATAAATGCTCACTGCAGTAGTTCATCCAAAGTTAGCAATTCATTCACTTTCCATACCACGTCAAGATGTGGTGCACAATCGACATTCAAATACGCGTACAGTCGCGCGGTTTCAACAAATCAAGAACTAACATTTGAAGCGTTCAAACTACTGGTCCTTGCTCTGTATGCACTAGGACCGGAGTTTTCATCACACAGAAATGTTTAACTATCTGCTCACATCACCATTGCCTTAGCTAAAACTCTATCTATAGGCTACTAACTTGAGTGGGAAATGGAATGTTAATGAGTGCAAACGGCAGGAGAATAACAGAGAACGCTAGCGGGCAACTTCTTTAACTTACTTTAAACATGTTGGTAGATTAAGCATACCTTTACCTTTGCATGACTTGGTACATCAGGAGGTGGAAAGTTGATCGTTGAGAAGTCACCAGGCGCTCGAGCCATCATACCATGATGACCTCCGGATGCGGCACCAACTGAACCTGGGCCGGCATGCTTGTTTGGTGGATTGGGTGATCGGAACGGATCGCTAAATTACAGCAGTGAGTGCCAATAATGCGTTCCAAATAGACTGTTTAATTTAAGCCGTACTTCATAGGAGGATTGTAGTCGTTCAGTAATCCTGCAGCTGACATTGGGCCGCTAGGAGGACCGGAGACACCAGTGCCACTTGGTGGTGCTGAGCTACCTGCAGCTGCTGCCGCCGCCGCTGCTCCGGCACTGGAGGCCGGTGCAGGCGAGCCAAACTGTGCCATTGGATCAACTGATTGTGGGCCACCTGCTCCAATGCTCCCGCCTCCAGCTGATCCTGGCGCTCCGACTGACCCAGGACCAAGAAGCTGACTCATGTCTTGCAGTGCTGAACGGCAAACATTATACAAGAACTAATGAATGAGGAACGGCCGGTAAAACCATATATCGATAATAAACTCTGACATAGCTCACTTCCAGCGGCGGAAGGTTGATTTTGGATACTCTTCAACGGTTTACATACGGGACAATCGTCTCGATTACAATTCTTCCAGTGGGCTATGATTTGCCGTGATGAAGCACAATGTGCATCTAAGAGCATCATTAGATTAGTTTCCGATCAAAGAATGCATGACCCGAGTCCATAAAATTGACTGTGCAACTTACAGGTGCATTGTCGTCCATTATGACAAATTGTCATGTGCTGTAGAACCTCTTTCATTGTACTGCAGTGCGGTAGATTGCACGGTGTTCGTCCGTTGGCAGCTTCGGCAGGATTCTGAAAATGGCAAAGGTTGAAGGTGAAGGCTTGCGATCACCATCAATTATGAGACTTTTACTCATCGTACTCGAAACATTCGTAACACGTCGCTCGGAAATCATTGTATATGTAAACTATGTTCTTCCCCACGTCAGCTCTCAAAGAAATGGTCACAGTCCGTTATGCAGACACATTTGACCAAAGCATTCTAAGATCAGTATCGTATCCGTTCTTGAATAGGGAGAGAGCACGAGCCCGCCAGTGAAAAGAACGGCCATGATAGGTACCGATCGCATAGGCGAAGGTGCACCTCCACCTAAGGTGCTTTTAAGGCTTCCCAGAAGCATCGCTAGCTCTCCGCTACTTTTCGATCAAGTCACATCTGCTCTCGTTTTCGAGCAAAGATCTCGAACATTGGCCTTCACGGAGCTTCCTACACTTTGTGAGGGAGCTGGACTTCCTTATACTCGTTGCACCTAGACATCTTAATTCAAGATGGTGAATCATAGTCCTGAAGTTCTTCAAGTTAGAAGAACTTTACTAATTCATGAAGATGACTCCAAAACTGTTCCAAAACTTTATGCATTTACGTAGTCCTCGAGGTAAATGCTACCTTCGAATTTTTAGGCTGAGATTTTTGTTTCAGAGAGAACTAGAACACTAACAACTTTTGATAATAAGAGATCTTTTGGATCTAAATTCTCTGAAGTAAAGAAGAAGAGGTTTTTGAGCTATTTCCTGAAAACCTATCTCGGCCCGAGAAAAGAATCTTAGTTGGAGCAGCCATCCTCTGGTTTGCCTATCAAAGGCGTAACCAATTAAAGGATGATATAAGTTGATGTGATACCGGCCATCGTGTTGAGAGCAAACAAGCTGGTCTTGATCGCTGGCTCATCCCAAACGAAAATCAATGGGAAAAAGGGCCTTATTTCTGGGATCTTGAGCTTTCTTGGTCAACAAACACCCTCTGCCTCTAATTCTGCAACCAACAGCGATCTTTTCATAACATCCGCCTTCGAGTGGTACCCTGAAATGAGCGAATCTGAGCACGTTTTTGATTTGCTGTAGCTAGTGTTCCGGTATGCAATTGCCACTGGAAGCCGATACCAAGCGGTTATTTCCAAGGGAGTTCACGGGTTAGTGACAAAACTAACAACTCGAAACTTCAAATTTGATCTTGAAATCCGGCTAAATTTGAGAGCCCTGTGCAAGGTGAGAACTTTTTGCTGATCCCTTTTGGAAACGCCCAGTTGAGAATTCTATATCCAAGCATGACTTCGATGCCTACGTGCCAACTGCTACTAAATTCACGCTCACTGCGGAAGTTGACATGT